ATTTGCCCCAGAGCAGCTATTTAAAATACTACTAAATTATTCTCACCATTGTACATTGATTAAAGGATTATCTATGTAATAAAATTCCTATAGTTGGCTTTATTATAGATATTTCTCTGTATACGTTTGAACTTTCATTTTACAGCCTACACACAGATGAAGTTTGGCAGTTATTCCTGCTTAAAACATTACCAATTAAAATAAACACAAGGCTTACCTGGATTGATGCAGAACCTGACAAGCATATGTTCTCATTGACTCGTTTCACCAGATTTTTAAATTGAAGGTCATTGTAATCAAATCTGCTTCCAAACACGATAGAAGAGATAATATTGGATGTTGCATAATTCAAAGGGCGTGCCGTATCAAATGGATTCCCTGTAAAAACACATTAATAACAGAGTTATTATACCAAGAAACAACCTTCATACTTCATTTGGGGATAACAATATAGATATCATTTTAAGTCACTACACAACAGAATAATAAAGGACAATCTTGTACAATTAAAACAAACCTGGAAAAAAAGTAATGATTTAACTACATTTTATCATTTTATTTATTTCATTCCCCATAAAATAAGGCGTTCTGACCATGTGGAGGAAATGTCACTGAGCTTTATGAGTGCCTCCCATCCACCTCACCTTTGATAATTTTATAAATCAGAATGCATTTTCCTATGTTAGTCTAACTCCATACCTTTGTGCTTTTCAAACACTTGGATCAGATGGACACATTCCTCCAAGATTTTTTCCTCAGCCACTCTTTTGCCCATCCCAAAATCTCGGAGGGTTGTGAGGGCAAATCGTCTCATCTCTTTCCAGGATTCTCCGTTGGTAAACAGAATTCCTATTAAACATCACATGCAAGTAGAAGAAATCTGTATTAGTCTACTACAGTGTTACTGAAGGTGTGACCTCTTCAAAAACAATCAAGTGTTCAACAACTGAATATTTTTGAATGATTTCTGAAGCCATAGTATACAATACATTAGAACATATACCATGTAACACTCATCAGAGATTCTACTGAATTAAACAAACTAGAAATTTAAAGATTCAACACTGAAACAAATAATAAAAATAACAGTGGAAAAGTGAACTGAGTGAGAAACGCTGAGTTATTTGTGATGTTGTTGTTGTGCTAATATATAAAATAATTTCATGATTTTGTAAAGGAAAGTCTTACCATGACCCTGACTAATATCATGAAATATGGGTGAAACCTCTCGGTCTCCAAACTCTTCAGCATAGTTGACCAGAGCCTCTTTCACTGTCTTGTATCCAGCCAGCACCACCACTTTATTGGTTCCAAAATAAACCGTAAATACAGACCCATATTTCTTTGAAAGCTGGATGAATTAAAAATACAGTCAAATATAATTAATTTGTCCATTACTGTAATAATAAATGTTTTTATAAGTGACAACACATTACAAAAATGGACTTGTTTTTGATTAGGAATGCTAAACTCACCTCACACAGGGTTTTATAAGGTCTCTTGAGATCAAGCTGTAATAAGTTTCCAAGCAGGGGCAAAGGTCTCGGTCCTGGAGGCTCCTTCTCTTTTGCCCCTGGTGTGAAAGTACTGGAGACAAGATACAGGACAAGCAGCACAGCAAAAACCCCCAGCAGGGTGGTGGGACTAGAGAAAAGGTTAAATGTTAAATCATCCAACAGAGCCATTCTGTTCTGTTCTTACGGTTCCTCTCTGACTATTCAGGTAACAAGCAGTGCTGTTTATACAAAAATCTAATCCAGTGTCCTTTCAATTGTAGGTTCACTCATCTCCCCACCCCTATGAACTCTGAAGTTCAAAGCTTGACTACAGTGATTTGTCCTCACAGAGATTTAATCTTACATTTTGGCAGAAACCTACAGTAAATTCTACAACCGATATTCACACGCTCCTGTAATCATTTTGGCCCGGGAGTTCAAAACGTTTTATCTCAATCAGAGCCGATCAGATTTGAAAATCCAACATTTTGTGATCCAGGATCAGACATCTCTGCCTGATTAAGGATAAGATCACCCTGATCCAGATTTAGACGTTTACCAGACCCTGAATATCAGTGTTTTAATCCTACCCATCACCACCTACTGGATGTGAAGAACAACATAAGGAAGACAGACAATATAGCAATTCAGAACCATTTCAATTATGAGAAATACTATTTTCCAAGTACATAACACTTGCTTAAAATCATAATGGAATTTAATTTAAGAATTTAAAAAATGCCCCTTGCTGGTGATCCAGGACCATCTGTGGATCTTCCTCTAAATGAAAGACTGGTCATACAATGTGAGACATTATTGTCCACAACTACTTTTGAAGGTTGAGCAGAGATGATGGATTTGTGGTTTTGAACTCCCCAAAATCCAAATCTGGTCCACTTAGATAGGGATTACAAGTTTTGTATTCTTGAGCCCTTGTGACCCTTAAAGAGCCGTCTTGGTGTTCAGGCTGGGAAACACTGGTCTCACTTTATCAGGAAGGTGCACTACTAATATCATCAAACTAAACTCACCAATGTGTCCCATGAACGAGCCCAGGTCACACACAACTTTCTGTCTTTATCATAAATTTGATTTTACAGTTTGTTTGTTTTTTTTAAATACTCCCATATGTATTCTATATAGCAGAAAACATTTTTAAAAGTTGCCTTTAATATCATGCAGTGGGCTATGTGTTTTTCATTTCCCTGTACTGTTCGCTGTACTGTTCGCTGTACTGTTTGCTGTACTGTTTGCTGTACTGTTTGCACTGTAGAGGGGGCCTCCTGACCTTTGTTTCACTTTGCTGTTTTGATGGACTTTAGTGTTTAAAACACCGTGTGAAACGTTTTAATGCTTTGTTTCATAACTGTAGTTTGACAAAGTTGAGTTAGTTATTCAAGTAGCAAATTTGATTGAATTTTGATTTAAACTTTTTTTTTCCGGGCATTGTTAGTTCCATCGTGCAACAGTCTCAGAGCTGAACTACAACAGAACTGTACTGAGAAAACCAAAATCACATGTACAGACACGTTAAGGCAAAGAATCTTGTTTGAACACCTTGATCGTGTTTTCTACACCCATATGTGTTTTTGGCAGACAAGGGTAGACGTCTCTGTTTAAGTTAATGGGATCATTTAAAGGAGGCATCTTAGAGAAACAGGTAGGATTTGAAAAGGTGTGTGCATTCCTCTCTTTGAAAGACTGACACTATCACAGATAAAGCTCAGAGCAGTGCAATTAGTTTGGTCTTTAAACTGGTTTGAAGGAAAACCTGGTAATACCTCTGTTGTAATAAGCAGGTTTAAATTCTGCTTTATGTACATTAAGACAACTTCTCTAAAGGTCAAATTTGATTTGGGGGGGAAAAAAAAGCAAACAAACATATATTTCCACCTACCCCTGGAGGCTTCTCTGTAGACATATAGATTCAGGAGAGTGTGATGTATTACTTTAAGGAAAAATGAGAACAGACAATGGTGTTTGCTTCCATTTGCATTGAGCAATATTTGATTTAAAAAACAACAGTGATACATATACAGTTAATAAGGTCAGTTCGATGGTACAGTACAGTACACGATGAATGTGTGTAAATTCCCTTTTTAAAATATGGTACACTGTATTTCAGCATAATCTGTCAATATCAGTAGCACAAGCATTTCCATTTTTCTCAAATTATGTTTCTCCTTTTACAATTGATTCAAGTCACATATTTAATGAGATATGAACTGTGCAAATAAACAAATGTAAAAAAAAGTCTAAACGAAGGCATTAAATCCTTTAAAAACCAATAAGCGACGTGTGGGTCTTCCAGGCAAGCGCACGTGAATGTGCAACTGCCTGGAGATTATGACCATTCAAGGAGATCCTTAAACTGTCCAGAGGGACTTGACAGTCTGCAAGCGAGAGTTAGCGAGATGTATATAAACCGAGTTGCTTTTGCACAAAAGTCCTAGAACATAGGTACACCTCATTTTTTGTCTATTCCAGTCCAACTAACAACATTGTAGATAAGTCAAAAAACAAAGGCAAGCATGTCATGGACCCTTTAAATCACACTATTTGTGCAAATACACAAACAAATGTAATAAAACTCAAGAATATGACCTTATATCCTGTAAAGAACAATAAGCCACATGTCTGTGTCTTCCTGGAATGTCAGTCTCTAGTTTTTTTTTCTCCACAAAACACAAATACACAAAAGAGCTGTGAATCATATTTAGCTGATAGTACAACTGATGTATGTCAGAGCCTTCTGCTTTCATGTAAGACAGTAAATTCATTCATCTTACATCTGTGAATCCAGGATTTTTTCAAAACTAGGAATGTGCACACTAGAGTTAGTGAATGCTAACTGATCCAAAATTCTAATATTGATATTAAAGTTAAAATAAAGTTCTGGGAGTGTGATAAACGGGCATCTTCTGAGCATTATAAAAAAAGGACCAAACAGTGACCATTCTTTCTCCAATTTGTCTGCAGAGGCCTTAGTTAAATGTTACTATCCATCCCATTGATGGGCCTTATTAATGAATATCTTGGCATTCCCTAAAGGAGCAGCTCCACATTAAAGATGACAGAAAAGAAAGGTTTGTCCACTGCACAGTAGCAATCTCTTGGTTAACATATTTAAGGACTATAGCACTATTTTAATATAATCTGGATGAATTCAGGATTCATAGTGTATATTCCCATACTCTTACTCACGTGCCTAACCTTAAACTAAGTTGTCAACCTAAAATTGTCACAGTGCAAGTGTGTAAGAAGGTTGTAGCCCCTTCAGTGTGAGGAATACCAAGCGCACACACACACACACACACACACAGGTGTACTCAGTGAAATGCATAGCTGCAGAAAACCAAAGAAGAATGTGCAAAAACAGCCTTGTTGTTCTAGGTCCACATCAGCCACATGCAGTCTGATGCAGCTTGACTACAGATCAACACCTCCAACTTTACTGCAACAGCAGCAACAGTAGAAAATAATCTCCTGCATCACACAACAATTTCAATATTTCTTCCATGTGAACTTTAACAGTTGAATATGGTATCACACTTGCTTTAACTTGTTTGGCAGCAAGAACAAAATTCACAAGCCGAACAGCGGAGGGATACAAAATGTAGTCACAGGGCTGCATGTACTCTGAGGATAAATCCTCAATAATGAATCATGCACTCGCAATTTTATGTATACATTCATCAGTGAACTCACAACAGTCCTGAAATGAGTAAAAGTTCTGCTCTGGGCTGAATGACTAAGTGGTTTTAGGACCATGAATCTCTCACATTATTTACATCTGGCAACAACATTAAGAGGCTCTTGAGGTGCAGGTGTTTTGTACAGGGCAATGAACAGAAATGAAAACTGTCAGTTAGATAAGGCTCACATCTGTGCAACAATTTCATAAACATATCAAATGGAGTTCATTCTCTTGTGATGATTGATGATTTAGAAACATGATCAACTAATATAAAATCATAAATAACACAAATCTGCACATACATAAGTGCACACATACACACAAACAAACCCTGTCACATACAATTAAGTGTAGTGGTAGTGTTTAATGAGTGCTGACATTGTGTTTGACCTCATTAAAAAAGTGCAGCACTCAAGAGTTCATTACTTGTTATAATCAGCATCCCCACATGTCTGAATTCCAATTTTTTACACAACAACAGAGGCATGAATAATTCAACAAAGATGCACCAACATGATAGAGTAGCAGAAATGTTGGATTTGATGTTTAGGGGCTGGCCCTGTGTGTATGTGTATGTGTGTGTGTGTGTGTGTGTGTGTGTGTGTGTGTGTGTGTGTGTTTTGGTCAAAGTAAAAATGGAGCTGGAAATAAACCATGCTCTGCTCCAGTCTGTGTAAACACCTGCTGTGTAATGGAGACAAGTCCATATACACAGGTTCTGCACGTTCTGTAGAAAATAAACGATGGATGGATGGAGCCCTCGCTCCAGCTACTTCCTGCCACTCTCTGTGCAGTGCTGGAACTGGGCAAAGCTGAGGAACACCTGCTCCAGTGATATCTGGCTCACACAGTAGTCTTCAATGTGGTATTTCTCTTTGGCTGCCTCCAAAGTGCCAAACACCTAGATGGGAACAAAGAATATGGAGAGACGATGTAGAAAAGTGTGATGTGAACATGTCTCTGGTGTTACCGAAGAATTTGTGCAAATGTCAAAATTTAAAGCTGCAATCTGCATCTTTTGTATCTCTGAGCTATTCAGTGTTGTCTGTGGCATTTTGGAGGTACTACCATACTGTGAACATGTGAAATAAACACTGGTTAAAACATATCAATGCATTTTTTTTAAATCACAGACTGACACATACAAAAAGAGGAGATTAGAAAGTACTTCCTACAAAACTGCAGCTCAGATAATTGAAAGTTACTGTGCATTACTTTGTCCACTAGAGGGAGCTCTAACACAGCACAGGCACAGTACATCGAAGGATTCCCTGATCAGAGCCACTTTTTAAATTGTAAAATCGATTACAGTACCTGGGCCCAGGTTAGTGTTTTGTCAGTCAAATGATAGTGCACCATTCCCTGGTGTTCATCCTTTAGTTGACTTCCTGTTGTGGGAGAACATTCACACAGTTACATCTGCTTTGATATTCTTAACAATGACAGATCACTTTGACAGCAAATGAACAACAATATCTTAACAGTGTATAGAAAAATTCTAGAAATCTACAGAGAAACATTTTTGGCATGGTTATATTAAGCACAGATGTAAGTACAGCTACAATAATACATTTTGTTTTGTTGCTTTGCATAATAAAGCATTAAGACCCTGAAAACAGCATTTAAATTATGGTTACGTTTTATTTTCTCTTTCTATTACACAGATCTTCAATTTAATTTGACTAATTTCAATTGTTTATACTTCTAATTATCTTTATAGTTCATATTTTAAATGCTAAAATAAATGTTAACTGACCTGGAAAGGTGCTCTCAATGAAGTCTTTAAACAGCTGCAGATCTCTGTCCTCCAGCTCAGTCTCTATGTGCATTTTAGCCAGCAGGGTGTAGCCACTGCCAAACTTGCTCTTCAGGTGTTGGGGACTCCCGAGGCACTTGAACTGACCATTGACCATCACTGCCAGCCTGGTACACAGGGCCTCACACTCCTCCATACTGGTCAGAGATCACATCATATCAAGATAAGAGCAGTACGACGTCTTTTAACCAATTCCCGGTGTTGTAAGAAGTATTTTTAGAAAAATTATCATTAATGCACTGTAAGAACATTCCATTACAAAAGACTTAGAATTAAAATATTACCTAAGCTAAATTACAGATGCATGGGAGTATTATACTTGAGTAAATGTACTTTGTTAACTTATTGGACTACTTACTACTGATACCTAATACACACTACAAATCTTACCTGTGAGAAGTGATGATTATGGCCTTGCCAGACTCTCGTGTGCGTGTAACAGCATCCCACAGCAGCCTCCTGGCCACAGGGTCCATCCCAGTTGAAGGTTCATCCAGGAAGATGACTGGAGGCCCACCAATCAGAGCCATACCCGCACTCAGCTTCCGCTTGTTACCACCGCTACATATGTTAATGAAGGTGACATATTATTTACACACACTTCCTCAACATAATAAGGTGTTATTCGTGCCGATATGTTGCACATGGCTCAGACTTTTCTCTCTGAACCTACAGTCTACCTACCTGTAGTTGCGGACCAGTTTATCAGCATGAGGCTCGAGCAGCAGCGACCTCAGGACGTTCTCCACACAGCCAGACACATACTTCTCTGGTATTCCTCTGAGCCTGGCATACATGCTGAGAGTTTCTCTTCCTGTCATGTGGTCCAATACAGCATCAAACTGAGGACAGTAACCAATGCGCTGCTGTACCTGCAGTGCAGAGATAAATGTTCCCTTTCAAATCTTTTATGTATTTAAAACAATGCATCTCCACATTGAAGAACTTAATGTGCCCATGGCATGATCATTTCCAGCCATTTCATTTTTAATCTTGGGTACCTCTAGATTAGCTTTGTATCCATCAGAACTCCAAATAGTCTGTAATTATTTCAAAACAACAAAACCTGGTATCACAAGGAGAGTGCACAACTCCTGCTGCTGGTCGGGAAGCTACGACAATGCATATACAAAAAAAACTTTGACAAATAAGCTGCGCTTTTGACAGTGACAATACCTCAAATCTTACCTGACATGTTGAAGCCAGAATATGAAAGTGGACGGAACGACGAACCACAACAGCAATAATTAATTTGAATTACTCCTCCATAGAAAACACAGAAATGCAAGCCCTGGGCACTTTAAATCCAAAGGCTGCACTACTGAAGTGAATTAATCTTTGAATTTGGTTAAACAGCCTTTCCCTCCATCTGCTCCTACCTTCTTAATGTCTCTCAAGATGCTGTATCCATCAATGTAAGCATCCCCAGAGGTAACACTCTCATCACCTGTCAGCATCTTAAAGGTTGTGGTCTTCCCTGCTCCATTGAAGCCCAGGAGGCCAAAACACTCCCCTTTACCTACGGCAAGAGACAGCCTGTCTACAGCCAGAATATTTGTCCCACTGCTGTACACCTGCGAAGGAGAAATAACAGCGGGTCTCTTCCACCTTTTCATATCTCACAAAGACAAACTTTGTGTCACACATATTTCAACACTGAGGCATTCTGTCTCAAAAAACATTCAGACCTATGAATACACACCTTGCTGAGCTCCTGCAGTATGAGCGGGCTACCAACCATAGACTCCACTACAGGCTGGCACTCCAGGACCCTCTTCCTCTCATCAGCCACGTCTCTGTCCTCTTGAAGGACCGCTGAATCCTCTATTAGAGGTAACTAGCACACATGCGCACCAATGAGTAAGATGAAAATGTATAATAATAATAATAATAACTACATAAAATAAAACACCACCCCCACTTCACAGTAAGAGTTATAAGATGTTGCCACAGGTCTTTTACTATGTCACAGTAGTGTACGGGGGGGAAGGCCAAAATAATACACATACTTAATGATTAGGCAAGATCAGCTCAGTTGTACAACAGATGGAGCCTGGAGAAACTGTAATCTTTGACGCATGACTGTTCGCATATGTGCGTTCATATACAGTATACACATACTGTATATTAATATTTATACACACATAAGGTGAATCCCAATTCAGTTATTTTAATCAATCCTTGATCACCCAGAAGTCGTTTCGGTCTGCCATGATAAGGGACGTCCCAAAGCTCTCATTTCTGCCTGGAGGAGCTATAACCGAGGATACACAAGTGCAGCCTTCGTGGAAGTTCATTACAGATTGACATGACTCTTTATCGGAAATTAGTTTGTGACTGGACACTTTATACAAGGATCGGAGGAAAGGAAGTCACGTGTCAGTTAAAACCTCAATTCATCTCTCCTTGCATCTAACATGGGTGGGACTAAGATGTAAGGAAAAGACAAGTGAGGGAAATGTGGATGTAATTAGTGGAATTGGGATTCACCTATCGACTATTTGATTAGTTTATTTGTTTCCACTCTAGATGCATGTTCCAAAACAGAACAGAAGTGTTTCCTGAATCATTTGGAGAGGTTTCAGTCTTTCTAATGAAACAGACAATTCTTAAATGTCAACAAAATCCCTTTAGTCTCAGTGCTGATTAATGCAGAGGTGGTAACAGAATTTCAAGTGACAAGAGCCTCAAGCAACCACTTGCTGCCTCTTCTCCCTGATGAAGTGCAGCCCATTATAATGAATCAGTATGTGGGTTATTAACTGATGCACCCCCAAAAATAAAACATTTAATCTAATCTACACGATTAGAGAAAAATCACTTTGCTCTAGTTGTCTTTAAAAATGTTGCTTTTCACAGACGTCTGTCTGAATCTATTCAACTACAAATTGAAAACAGTTTCACAGAGAGGCCTCCTACACAGTGCAAGCAGTGGCTGCAAGGAAATTTCTGATGAAAATGGAAAGTCTGTACTGACCAAAAAAAAAAAAAAAAAACAAGAAAAAGACAAACACCGCCTTGTTTACTGCTCCCACAGTTCATCTACCTGTTTGCGTCTTCGGCACAGGGAGGTGAGGAGCCGCCAGAGAGTACGGACACACTGCAGCTCAATGACAAAGAGCAGAATAATGAAGACTAGTCCCTGAATTGAAAGGGCCACAAGGAAGCGTCCCACACCAGGCTCCAACATAGAGAAGTAGTTTAGCTGGTATGTGATGTCTAAAAGCAGAGAAACAATAAATTAATGCTTTTTATTTTTTTGGTAATTAGAAACATGGAAATTGGATTACAAAAAAAAAAAATCCAATTTGCAGGTTCAACAGTTTTTTGTGACAGTGAAGAATACGGTGCATAATGGCAAATGTAGATCAGTTGTTTTCACCCATATTTATCTCTACTGTCTATTTCCAAAGGTATCGTAGCTGTCCTAGTTTAACACTGTCCTAGTCAAACTGAATTTGTAACAAAAATATAACTTTTGAACATGTAGATATATAAAATGCAAATTTAAATTTATTTAAATTTCTAGGCACATATACCTCCCAGGATGGGAGTGTCACATGGAGTGTCAACACAACTGTAATATTTAAGAAGACACAGCAGAGGCTTTATTTTTTTCCCCACTGCAAAAAGTCAATTTGTCTCAACAGCTGCTGGTGTCCACCTATCACTGCTCTGTTGAGAGCATACCATCCTGCTGTATCTTTGTATGGTATGCTAGTAGCACAGCATCTGAAGGGAAATGGATCAAGACAGTCAAAGTAGCGCAAGACTTTACCAGCTCAGTTACCCTCATTAAAGAACATCTACACATCCCGCTGTCTACGATGCACAGAAAACATATCAAGGACTCATCTCATCCAGGTAACCACTCGTTCATACTGCCGCTATATAGAAGGCGACATAGGTCCATTAAAACCTGCACTTCCAGATTACTAAACAGTTTTTACCTACAGGCCATTAAGGCTATGAGAGTGTACAGTTACTATATTTGAACGGTTTATTATTTGTATCTATTCTTATCCACTTCTGCCATGTATTACTATTATTGTTGTCATATATTTATTATATCCACATTCATAGGGTCTATCATTATCATTGTCACTATAAAAATCACCATCATCTTTCCAATGCATGTGTAATACTGCCACCCTCATAAGGATTTATTTTTATAATTACGCCTTCTATATCATATATCCATCACAACATAAATGTCAAATCTAAACGCATGCACTGTGCCATTCTATAGCAAAAGCAAGGACCTTATTGTTCTCTGAGGGAATATTTAGGCTGTACTTACTCAAGTACTTGCAGATTTCCTTGCTAATAGGGCTGGAGGTGCAAAACGAGATGAATTCATAGTTCTGGTAGAACTGACTGAAGGACATGCCCAGGCAGTAGTTTGGAAAGATCAGGAACACCTTATCAAGTAAGTGAGAGAGGTCCTGCAGGTTCAACTCTGGAGAACAAATTCATAAACAGTCAACATGAATGTGTTCAAGATGTCAACCACTGTTCAAACATGTAAAACTAGCACATAATATATTGGCCCTAATATAACATTTTCACATTTTTAATAGAAATTACAGTATAAAAATAGGAGTCATATTCTATTGTCTTATAACTGGCAACATATTATATTATGGCCAATGCTGCAATTTTGAGACAGTGTCTCCTCTCACCTGGGATGGTCATGATGGTGACAGCCAGGAAGGTGGCTGTGCCAGAGATCATGTTGAAGATGGTGAGGCGAGTGTAGGCAGTAGCAGCAGTGGAGAAGAAAAAGCTCAGAAGATACATAAGAGGCACAACAGCCCAGCCATAGAGCAGCAGTATTAACAACACATCTACCAGGTGGTTATCCTCTACGAAGGCCTCAACTCCAAATGCCCTGAATACCACCTGAGAGCAAAACAAAGTTAAGATATGTCAGTGCACAATGCATTTATCAAGTCTATGCATACTGTGCTTTTAGCCTGGACAAATCAAACCAGTCTGTTTCTAACTAATCAGTCCCTGAGTAACTTCCTAGTAATATCAATTGTCATACAAACCAGCATGAGAAGACAGGGCAGCAGGAAGTTGACTAGATCCCACAGCAGGGCTGACAGCCAGAAGTTTGACAGGTAGACACCGCTGACCTGCTGCACATGCTTGGATTTAATAGAGGACTCTGTAACAAGCAGCAGGGCAAAGGTGCTGGATAGGGAGGCCATACCATACATCAAGTTGATAGCAATGGCAAAGCCTGTCTTACTCCTACAGAGGAAAGAAAAGATGGAGACTGTTAAGGCAGAAAAGAATGGAGGAACTAGAAGAGGGTTGATGACATGAGAAAATTAAAGAGAAATTGTGCAAAGGAAGAGTTACAGCACATATCCAGCAGTTACATTGTGTCACACACAAAATGACTGGAGTTTAAATCTATCTTAAAATGCGTTTTGTAGTCGTTTTATTTTTTGGCACAAATTTACAATTCATCCTTCTTTAACCTCTTACATGGGAACACAAAGCCATTCAGTTAGTAGTGTAATGCTTCACAACTTGAGTGCAACAGAATGACTGACATTCGTATATGGAGGTGCGATGTTTGAAGTTCACTGGGGAAAATACTATTACCCTATTTTAGTGTATTGTGATTTTAATGCTTTGTTACCTTTATGTAACTTTTTTATTTTAAGACTAAATAAAGTGTTGGGAGGATTACACTAAAGTGTTCTTTCTGGCTTTTGACTCCTTACCTGACTCCAAAGGAGAGCTGCACAAGAATTCCTATATGCCTAGACTGTCTGTTTATGCATAAATGGCAAATAAAAATCTTGACCTGACTTGGAAGCTAAACTTTTTTTCTCATGCCACATGTTCTTAATATTATTCTTCCTCCCCCCCCCCTTCACTCACTCAGTGAGCTGGCTCTGAGCGATCTCAGACAGGTTGCGTGGCATGGGGTAATTGCCCATCTGGATGGAAGCCTCGGGCCCTGCTAGAAGTTTGAAGAGAGCATTGTCCACCATCATGAGGGCTGTGGCAGGTGTATGGTAGCCCTCATTATTGAAGTAGGCTGTTGCTTCTGCAAAGTGACTGCTGCTGCCACGGAAAGCAGCACCCACCACGCAACGCTCATTAAAGACGCCGCCCTCTTCCTCTGCCTGGGTCAGGATGTAATCAGTAAAGTCTGAGGGAAGCAAGAGTAATGGGTTTCATTAAACACCTAGCGAAACAGTCAAGCCATGTCCCTGTCTTTCTCTTTATGCTTACCAGTAATGTTGATGAGCTGGCCTAGCTGGGCAGAGAGCTGTGAACTGTATGTATATGCCAGGGCGGACGCCAGGGGACCTGACCCAGGCTGCAGAGCAACAGGCACCCTGGTGGGGCCATAGCGACTGAGTGCCAGCCTCAGCTGAGGAGCATTCTGGTGATTGGGAAAAGTGCGTACCACAACTAAAGCTACAACAGTGAAGACCAAAGGAACCAAGAACTGCGCCACCATCACTTTCCAGTTTCTCCAGCTGTACAGTGCCCTTTTCAGGAACATGGCATAAAACTGCTGCAGGTGCAGTCTGACCTGGCGGGGGAGAAAAGGGGGGCTGAAATGTGAGCATAATGAATGACAGTGGCGCCTGCAGCCATAATCCTGTACACACTGTGTGTATATTTTTCAAAATAGTTTTGCTCAAGTTTTACACCACTGCGTCTGGCGGTCATTGTGCACACATACATGCACTGACTTTACCTGTTGTCAATAAAATAACAGTACCAGGATGTGCAGGGTATTTTTTTGTTCATCATGGCTCGTGAGCTGCATTCGTGTATTATTTTGTGGACTAATTATTGGATTTAAGTGTCAGATCATTGATTTTGAAAGGGCGGCTGGTGTGCACCTCCCAAGCGCAATGCTGGTCACTGTGTGGAAATTTAGTATGGCAGGTGTTGATGAGAGAGAGGCTGCTGAACTGAATGAGCTATGGAGGTGCTGCTCAGAGCCAGTGTGCATGTTGCACTTACTCCAAGCTGTGCAGGGCTCACATTATTATGAGAAAATGCAGTAGGCTATGTTGTTATAACGACAAAATAGCTATTTAAATACCTCTGTAGTTATAACAAGAAAATATAGTATGTTGTAATAACATGAAAAATAGATTTTAACATGAAAGTATTTCATAAAAATGAGCAAAGTATCTTGTTATAATGAGAAAAGTTTCTCATTAAAACAAGATTTACGCTGCTGTAGGCAGTTCTTATGTGTACTATGAAATATAATCCTCTAGGCGCCACTGATGAATGAGTTTGCTTCTTCTTATCTTACCCCTGTGTTCAGCTTGATATTGGAGCAGTCCTCTGAAATGAGCGTGCCACTGTCTGTGAAGTCGGTGACATCGGTCATGCCGCTGATGCTGCTAGCATCATCTGTTGTCCAGTCATGGGAGCGTCTCTCATGTTGGTACTGCAAGGCCGGCAGCTGGATAGCCTGGACGTCCAAACTAGAGTCCACCAACTTTCCCACTCTGATAAACACAAATTATGCCACGATTATTCAATTATTTATTGAAAAGCAGCATCAGAAGTTGACTTAAATATGAAGCCTTCAGTGCAAAAATTAAAACTAATCTCAGCAAAGAAATAACTGCTACTTTCAAACTCTTTGCTAAAATTAAAGTTGAGCATAAGTTTATTCATTGTTGTGTTTTTTATAATTCATGATGAAGTTCAGAAAGAATAGTGGGTCCAATATTTTTTACCTTTTTATCCAATTCAGCATCACAGTAAGTTGAAGAAAGCAAATCAAATATCAAATTATCAATGATCGCCTTAATCAAGGCACCTACTTTACACAGGAGGGCAGATCCAACCGTATTAGACACCTTTATCTCAACAGACCTCTGTGAACCTAAGTTCATAAATCTACAAATCAGTCTAGCCTTTCCACAGCTCGTCTGTGCAATTTAATAGCAGAATAATGAACAAAATAAGTAAATATAATTTTATAAAAAATGTCAGAACTCTGAGAGTATACCTCCTAAATGGCGACAACTCACAATTACAAAATTTTAACCTGATTTAGTTACAGACAAAATAGTTTAGTAATAGTGTTGGACATTAGCTGTTTATATCTTTGAAAACATGTTACAAGTGCTAAATTTGGTATTAATGATCACAAAGGAATCCGGAATAAAATAAAACAGTTTTAATGGCACAGTAGCAGTGTTGCTATCTACTGTAAGCGACAAGTCATTTTACATGGCTGCAAAAGACTCAACACCAGCAAAGAGCTGATGTTTGATGCTTAGCGTACAGTGTATGGACAGAACACACAGATGGACTCTCAGTTTGAGCTGTAAATAATGAGGCCTACGAGTACAATGTCATACATGTGTGCTAGCTGAAGTAGCATACAGAGCTAGGCGTCTTAAGTGGAAGCGCTCTTGTTCTTGTTGCCACAGATACACATCTAAAGTCCACAGGGAAACAGAAATAACTGCTCGGTAAGCAGCAGGCAGCTGGAACTGGGAGGTGTGAGCAAAGGAGAGACAATTAACATATCAGCCTTAGCATGGATTTATATGTAAACAACACTGTTTTTTTTGTTTTTTACACTAATTTGTGTTTCAGTGTTTAACCTTCTCTTTTATTATCTATTTTTTTCTAATTTAATTAACAGCTGAAAATGCTGATGAGAGGCCTTTATGCTAGAATCTCCTCTCCATTTCTAGCTTAGATTTGCTTTATTTGTGTGTATAAAATGGAAAAACTATCTCTAACCAATACCTTTTCTGTAATAATGTTTTGAGTAATTATCACTAAAAATTTGTGCTGGGAACGTTTTATTTCATGTATGTGGGGTAAAGAGAATTTTAAAGGTGGTAAACCAAGACAAAAATGAATGCACTGACAGGGAGCCAAAACATGGTGTTGACAAAATTTCCAGATTCCAACACAGATGATTGTACAATACTTACAATATCACGCATTGCTTAATTTGAACAGTATATTGAATCTGCTTTCTGTTGCATTAAAAGTTCTCTCCTTGTACATTTCACTGACTCTTATCTGTCCATAACCTGAACATATGTTTGTTTTCAAATGTGCCCAGCTGTAGGAGAGTTACACCCAGTGTCATATCCTGACATAGAAATTTAAAAGGACTGGGACACTCCCCATGTGATATTTCTCCTACCTTAGAAAAACCTCTTCCATTGTGGTTACTGAAGCTCCATAGCTGGCGATGCCCAGTTCCTCTCTGTTCATCTCCAGCTCAGCAAACAGCAGCTCAAACCTGAGAGAAAACACAAATGGTGTAAACCATGGAAAGGCATTATGGACTAATGCTAACACTCAATACAAGCACTTGATGAATGTAAACCTGCCAAATTTCATTGTCACTGTATGTTTAAATAAAACTGTATACTGCCTTAAATCTAATCACAGAACAATAGAAAGCACAATAGGAAGTCCAGTTTGTGGGGGTGGGGCAAGTCGTGGTAATTTTCAGTGCATAGAACAAAATCACAGGACATGGATATAAAAGAACAAACCCTGGCGGGACACAGAAATGTAGAAGACATGGTTAAATAAGATAGTGTCAAGTGTAAAACAACCACAACTTATCAGTATTTTATTTTGAAAAAAATAAACGCAATTTTAAAAAGTTAATGACCAGCAAAATACCATACTATATAAATAAATGCACTATATAAAAATATAACAATTCTGATATACAGTAAAATCTCATATAAAAGAGTATTCAAATAATGTGTCTTACTGTACCAATCAATGTTAAACTACGGTCAACAAACATCCAGACTTCCTGATTGATTTTTGACAATAAAACCTACCCATGAAGGAAACAATGCAAGACAACAGGTGCACATGGAGGTAGATATTAGTCTGCCTTGACTAGGAAACTGGGGACATTACAAAATAAAATCCAGTCTGTAATAGATCTGTAAGCCTGTATCGAATGGCCATGCCACTGAGGTAAATAAAGTTATTTTTGCATAATGCGATGAAAAACAAAACAAAAAGCCGCTAATGTAAGTAAGCTGAGCCATACCGTATACTTCTAATACTCCCCTTAGTGGATTATATTGCTACTAACATTCAACACTGAAAGAACCATGTTGTTCTAAAACAGAGATTAATTAAGTAATGAACTGTTAGTTATAAATGAAGTGAGTGTGGGAATTATACAGTATCGCTGCAGCTTTAACTTGTTTGCCTTCAGATAGCATTGACATGCCAATTTAAAATATTTAATTATATGGAGAGTAAATTCCATGTGTAAACAGCCAAGGAAGCTGGGGGGTGCAGCTGGAGGGACTGTTACCAGGCCAACTGCCTGTCACCTATAGCACACACAGACCGCCACTGTCTTTATAAATATTAATCTGTATAAAAGCATGCTAATCAATGTTATGAGTTTGTGCTGTTTTATACATTTATTCATTCCGCATTTCGTAATCCATTTCTGGACATACT